AAGCTAAAACGTATGAAGAACGGTTGCAGGAACTGGGTAGGTCTAGTTTATTAAAAAGAAGGACTAGGGGAGACATGATAGCAGTCATCTGATATCTCAGGGTCTGATGCAAAGAAGAGGGAGTCAAACTATTCTTCAAGGCACCTGAGGGTAGAACAAGAAACAATGGGTGGAAACTAATCAAGGAGAGAAGCAACTTAGAACAATTAATCAGTGGAACAGCTTGCCTCCAGAAGTTGTAAATGCCCCAACACTGGAAGTCTTTAAGATGTTGGATAGCCATTTGTCTGAAACAGTATAGGGTTTCCTGCCTAGGCAAGGGGTTGGACTAGAAGACCTCCAAGGTCTCTTCCAACTCTGCTATTGTATTGTATAAGATTTGCTTCAAATATATTCTTAAACAGTTCTAATGTGGATTAGATGAGATGTGTTATCTGCTGTGATCATCTGGATATATTGCTATGCTGAAATTGTTTTCTTCTTTTGGGGAATTTTTAGGGACGCCATTCTGTAAACAGCAGAAACCGAAAGAAGGGGTCTGGAAAGCTGAGGATTTGACCCAGTCGTTAAATCAGGTGCAGTTAACTGAACCTCCTCCAACCAATTATATGATTCCTGAGCCTATGTTTCCCGATCTAGATTCCTCTCAGGTTGGTTCCCACTCCAGAAGTTGAGCATGATGGAAGGCCATTCCACTCCCATCTGTGAACTTGTGTCCCACCCGATTTCATTGCAGAAAACTCTTCCTCCCTTACCTGCAGTACGTTACATATTGCCCAGACTACTCAGCAACCTTTGGATTACAACCTGTTCTATTTATGATCTCTTTCTTCCCCTAATTCATTGGATGAGATTTCAGAACAAGGTTTTAAGTTCCATAAAAACACTTTTTGTAAAAAAAATGTCAAGGACCATTCATTGTTCATCAGCAATAGGAACGAAGCCCTTTTGAATTGGCAGCTAGTCATGCAAAGTTCTGGTGAAGACAGCCCTTCTTGAAGTGTTGGGAGAGGGTTCTGCAGACTCGGTGTTTAAGCATAAATGGTGACTAACTACTGTTTCTCTTCTTCAGGTTTACAATCAGAACCTGGCGTTGACCGTACCACTTCCTTCAGCTCTCCCCCCTTATGCACCGGTCAGTCAGCCCACTGTTCAGTTCATTGTACAAGGGAATCTTCCTCTGCTCACCTGCATGGCAGAGCAGGAGTTAATTCCAGAATCTGGGGGCAATTTGACCACAGCTTCAGAACCAAGTATTCAGGAGGCTTCCACAGGAGATGCAGAAGAAAAAGTCAAAGCATCTAAGTCTCCAGTGGATAAAACAAAAAATGAAGAGGTAGGTGGCTAGCTAGATGATGTCTTTAAGTCCAGCTGATCCATTTTTAAGGATATAAAATCTGAAAATTGACCTGCTGGTCTTGAATGTCTTTGTTGATGGTTTTATCTGTTATTTGGTTCCAGACAGCTGACACTTCTTCATTGGGGAAACAGTTGTTCAAGGCGTCTTCTGTGAAAGTGCCACCTACTTTAAGGAATCTACGTTAGTTGCTATAATCCATGTTTGTGGCCAGGAGCTGCATACATTAATGTTGCAGTTCATAATATTTCTTGTAAAATATTGCTGATCAGTTTCATTGGATGATCTCATATTCTAGCTTCTTTCCATTCAGTATTTCATCTGCATCATCTCTTTCTAAGAAAAAAATACTGAGTTCAGAGCAGTGATGTGCGGTGAAGTTTATAGCTGGTGAGACACTGACACAGGGGTTTCAAATTTTTTTAGACTTGTGGATTTCAACTCCCAGAATTCCACAGCCAGGCATGCTCAGTTCGATTTAAAGCGACAGCATTTTTCCCCCTTGCAAAATAAGGTTTCCTTCATTCTTTTTCTTCTCCCTCCCCCTCCTTCCTCCCCCTCTCCCTCCCCCCCCTCTCAAACAGACATATGCACACAGAGAAGTTGGATCCCTCCCTCCCTCACTCACTCTCAAACAAACACAAACACAAACACAAACACAGAGGTTGGATTGGATATATTTTCCAA